CTATTAGTGCTTAGAATATTATTTTTTCTTAGTTCATATCTTAGATATTTTCACTGTTTGTCTTTATAATTTATACTCGTGTTGGATGTAACTGGGACCCTGTGTACACAATTTGTTCCATCATGTGTACCACATACGATGCGAATGACAATAAAGAAACCTTGACCTTCATGAGTGATCCCACTGCAGGATCATTGACTTGCTTTGCCAAAAATCCTCATTTTATCCAGTGTCCTGATTTCATCAGTCCATTAAACCTTCTTCACCCTGCAGATTGGTAATCTCATTTAGTTGGTTGTATTTCTTTTGTTTAACCAACTTGAACATTTGAAAACTGCATACCTTTTCCCATTTGCAGTATGTAGCACTTAATTGTCATTTATATTGTGTTTTGACTAAATGGTTATTCAATGACTGTGCTTCCATTGTTTAGCTTATAAAAATATATAATTTGTTGGATGCATTCAGTTGAGATTTTCCTCTGAGTTGAGATAAGATACTAATCCATCGTCAAAAAACTCATTTTTATTTGTAACTGGAAGTAAATGTGTGATAAAGTGAACAGATGAAAAACTGTGGAGTTTGCAGAGATGCAGATGTTAAGACAAGCTCAGTTACCAGGTGAGTTCACACTCAAACCATCATCTTTGTTCAGGAGCTCTGGATAGTTTGTCCCCTTGCTCCTTCTGTCACTGTAGATCTGTGAACATGATGATCCTAACATAAGGTCAAGTTCTCCCTCATTATATGAAGATGCATTACGTGTAAGTTGGAGTTCATTGGGATGCTCATCTCACAAGACAAGATGAGGGACTAGGTTTACAAGAATGAGAAGACATTTTAACATTATTTTTAAGTTTTTAAGGTTTTGCCACTGGCAAGACCTGCATTTCACCTCACAGGAGTCTGATGCTTCTCTTCAGACTGACAATTTAACTTTACATGACCTTCTAACTGAGGGGGGGTACAACTCTTTTTCACAAGAAGTAAAATTTAAAACTTTGGCCGATGTGTAAAAATAAAAGGCCGGCTTTCTTTTTTCGATCTTTTCTTTAAAATAGTCATGCTCATTTCAAAATATTCATATAGAAATAGGAAGTTTACTCATATATATCTTATCAGCCAAAAATAAGATAATTTATAGGATTTTTTTAATGAAATCTTACTAATTCTGTAACACTTTACAATAAGGTACACAAAATTTGATTAACTACTAGGGAACGCCTCAGGAGCGAATCAGGAACAAATCAGGAATTAATAGGTAGTTAACAAGTACTTACTGGGGAACGCATAGCCAAGCCTTATTACTGGTCACTTACCTGGGAAACAAAGAGGATCTAATCAGGAACTAATGGGTAGTTAACATGGAAATCAAAGAGGAACGAATCAGGAGCTAATGAGTAGTTAATCAGTACTTACAGGGGAACACAGAGCCAAGCCTAATTAGACTACTGGTTAGTCCCCTTGTAAACGAAGAAAAACTAATAAAGAACTAATGGGTAGTTACCAAGGAAACTAAAACAGAACCAATCAGAAGCTAATGGGTAATAAAACCAGTAATCACTAGGAAACAAATTTTTGACAAACTTATGAGCTGTGACCTCACTGGTGCAGGGTTTATTCAGAACCCACGTGGAGAATTTCTCCTCTGTCTCTGTGGTAACAAACCAGTAGTCCCCTAATAAGGCTTAGCTGTGTGTTCCTTGGTTAACTACCCATTATCTACTGATTTGTTCCATAGGTGTTCCCTAGTAGTTAAGCAAATTTTGTGTACCTTATTGTAAAGTGTTACCACTAATTCTTTCATCATTTTTAATCCTTTATACTGACTTCTAATGAAACCATTTTACCACAGGTCATCAAAACTGCTAAAAAAACAACCAAACAAAAAAAAAAATTCAAGGAACTGCACATCACCTCAAAGTCTGGTTGACTGTTGTTCTTACAAATCAAATCGATTAACGCAAGGTTAAGTGTATTCTGTTTGAAATAATGCATAACAGAGACTCTTCTTCTCAGCACGTAGCTGCAGAGGCAGCGGAGGAGTGAGGGGAGCTGCCTCCATACTATGTGCCACGTGGTCCTAGTGCCTGACTGTTTATGAACTGCTTCCACACAAAACTTTTAAAATGGTTTGGATTACCTTCAGTGGTAGTTTCAGTAAAATTATTAAGAGACAACTTTTGTGGGAATTGCAAGAATCTTGTGATGTTTTAACCTCCCCCACCCACATGTAAGTGACTTTATTGCACAAAGGTTTATGTAAATGGTGGATTGAGCTGATATAAAAACACATTACAAACCAAAGTGCAAAATCCATACCTTAGGTCACTAAATACTGGAGGTGTAAAGTTTTTACCTAAATACTACAAAATACCAACCCAATCTGTTTCAAGAAGGTACTGTCTTCACTTATTCATTTATCAATAACGTATGTTTTCTGTTTCCAGGTGTCCTTCTTCCTGTTCATCGTGTTTGTGGTCTACACCATGCTGCCCTTCTCCATGAAGTGGGCCATTATTGCCAGTGGTATAACCTGCCTCTCACACACTGTAACCCTGAGCATCTGTCTGACCTCCACTGTCACAGAACTGGAGCCGTTAGTCTGGCAAGTGAGTCGAGCATTTATCCAAACCTGTGAATGCGCAGTTCAACCATATGACTGAAATCAGTTTTAAATAACTTTCTGCTTCTGCTGTACGTATTCTGAATCTGACATGAACTCTGTATTTTGGCCCTTTGGCAGCCTAAATGATTTGGCTGTGCTCTGTTAAGGGAAGAACAGAGAAAAGGTTGGCTTCTTTTAAAAACGTACATATAAAAATGATAAGGTGGTACATTTTAGGTAGGTCTGGGTTTTAACAATAGTAGTACTATTCTTTACTATTGTGACACGGGGCATTGAGTGGAGCCTTCACTGATAAAACTGCCTGTTAGTGTACTCGGAGAAAAGCTCTTAAAGGCTGTCTCAACCTGAATGGCTCTTTATCTAGTAACATAAAGGCCTTTACCACAGATAAAAATAAAAATCCATCAGACTCAATAAAACGACATCATGCTAGATAAGAAATGACGTAAAGTAGAATTGATTTTGTGTCTCACGCTTTTCACATTGACACTTTACAATCAGCCCTCAGAGTAAACACACTCGAACACTGTCACAACCCTGTCTCTTTTCAGTCCCTTACAAACACACATGAAGTTGTAGTTTCACAACAATAAAACATGCTCAATGAGCCTCATTACCTTTAGATACCAGACAATCTATTGATCTGCATGTCTACGTTTTAAAGAACTCAAGGTTGACATAGAGAGAGCAGTAAAGCATTCAGAGGTTTGTGCGGTTTCCTCGTGTTTTACAAGGTAATAAAGCACACTTAAAGGTAATCGGGACTTGAAATTCCACCCCCTCCTAATGCTTTTAATGTTTGCGTGTGGGATTCACGACAGGTCCTGGCCAATGTGATCATCTTCACCTGTGGAAACCTGGCCGGGGCATACCACAAGCATCTTATGGAGCTGGCACTGAAACAGACCTATCAGGACACCTGCAACTGCATCAAGTCACCCATCAAACTGGAGTTTGAGAAGCACCAACAGGTACAGAGTCCAAGAATGAGGTTGTTAGAAAATACCATGCTCCCATTGAACTGCTTATGCCTATCACCTGAGAACATAAAAGTTAATGCTAAAACTAAACCTTTAAGCTTGGACTTATAGTTTAAAGCTTCATTAAAATGTATTATTCACAAAACTCCAAGGCAGAAACGCAAATTAGACAAAATAGACCAGTCCAGTTAATGAGCAGTCATGACAAGCTGAATGTAGACCGCTTCTCATTCTGGACACTCATACATGTTGTTATACTAACATGTAACACAGAAAAATCCATTGTTGTCATCACTCTTTGTTAAAGAAATCAGGGCTCTCTTGTAAATGAGTCCTCGAGGCTCAATGGGATTAACCTGTATAAATAAAGGTTGAATTAAAAAAAAGGGAGTACATGAAACTCAACTTTGAGGTGGAATGCAGTAGATTGTGATTTATAGTATCATAGTGCTGGGGTCTGTGATATCGCGGACACTTATGTATGTGCATGTATGTATATATACAAGTACATATGTATGTGTATATACATGTATATGTGTAGGGATGCTTAGATGTGTATGTATGTATACTGTGTGTGT